TATGTTTACAATATACATATATAAATATTTATGCATACATACAAGAAAATATGATAATTAAAATATTTCAATATTTACTTAAATTCTAAAGCAATTTGTATATTATGTGTATATATGCTGTCTGTTGACATTACTTATTTATGTATGCACATGTATATATTTTATAAATTAATTTTATTTTATTTAATTTTCAATTAAAAAATGAATATTTGAAAAAATATTTGATTTTCTTTTTATATAGAGTTCAAGTAAACCTATGACAATTATGCTTTATTTTCAATGGGAATATTTTTCACCAAATATTCAGCAGCACTGTTTTCATATTTCGTTTAAAATTTCAAATTATCATCAAAAATTAATAATTGGAATCCGTAATTAATTTTTTTGATTAATAATTATATAAGTACCCGAATAGTACTATAGCAAACAGGGTGTCAATAATTGTACAGAATTTTTAGAATGTTTACGCTTTTAGGAAAATTTTACCTGTATTTTCAAAAAAATATTAAAATATGTAAAATTGAATAGCAAATTCTAATAATTTAGTGAAACTTTATTATATTTACATAATAATTTTATTGTGTAGCAATTTAAAATACATATAGATTTAATACAAAACTTGTTAACTATAAATAGAAAATTTATTTGAAAACTTGGTTCATATATCAATAAATTTGAATTTTCGAATAATATTTTCTATATAAGTTAATATTGTCATTTTTGTTCAAATATAGTGACATTAGATTTTAATATTTGATTACATATATTTTTATAATACTTTTTTATAATATTTATTAATTTTCTCAAATAATAATATTCATTATAAGATAAATTTTTACAAAAATTTTAAATTTTAATATTTTGAAATTTAAATATTTTGATTATGTTTGAAAAACACATATAATAATAATAATAATAACAATAATAATAGCGAAGACGAGTCAAATGTTGAAGGAAAAGGATAAGATAATTTTCACATGTGTATATGTTCTATGTACGTTTATACTATACATATATTCATATCTATATGTACTAATTTTATGTATACATACACATGCATATACTGCACAGTTATTTTTGGGGCTGTGGCCAGCATTTACACTTTACGTATGATTTTATTTTTTCCATTAATATTTCCGAAATTTTCTTAATATTTTTTTTTTATTTTCCTTCTTAAATTTAAAAATTGGAATATAAAATGTAAAAATAAAAATTTAAATGAACAAAAAATAATAACTATTAAAAATTGTTTTAATAATAAAATAAAAAAAAAAACATGTTTATTACAAAAAACATGTGGGATTTATAAAACAAAAAATAAAAATGTTAGTGAAATTGATAAAAAAGAAATATGTATATATACATATTTTTATTTTAAATTCACACGCACACATTTAAAAAATATTCACAAAAAATTTTATTTTTTTTTTTGTGTAATAGAAATTTGTTAAGTCTGTAGCAAAAGAAGTGTAGTTTTTATAGTTGTGTCTGTAATTACCGTTATTATATAAAGCAGAAATTTTTATACAAGTAGCGACATTATAACAAATTGAGACCATGACGTTAAGAGAGAAAAAAAGAATTAATATAGGCTTATAAAAAATTAAAGTAAAATAAGAGAGAATGAAATATTTTTTATTATTATTGGTAAGGATATTGATAAAATTTTACATGGGAAAAAAGAAAAAATCAGGCAGTTAAGAAGACTGTAAAAGACAAAAAAATATTAAGAATAAAAAAATTCTGTGTTAAATTTTAGTTATACTATAGGTATAACATTTGATATGTTGACACTAAGGAATAAATAAAAAAATATGGGAGGGAAGTGGGAAAAAGTGGGAAAGACAAAATTTTAATATTGTAATTGCATCAAAAATATTTTCGTAATAAATAAAAAAAGGAATTTATTTAAAACTTTAAAACTTTTACTCTCAATAAGCATATTAGGGCATATATAAAAATAATTTTGCTTGCATAATATATTAGAAATTTTATTTTTAGAAGACCTTCTTCAGGGTTTGGATCCTTACAAGACTTAAGTTTTGACAAGATTTTATAGGTTTGATCATTTTAAATGCAGCTCTGCGTGCAATAAAAATATTTCATATCTGTGGCTAGAGATATATTTCAAGTCTTTAGTACTTTGTATTCTTAAATTAGCACTCTAAGTTCATACGAATTGCCGAATTGATGGACATGCTTGATCAACTACAAATTTGGCTCTGAGCAAGAATTATTTCGCAAAAGTTTTTTTCTTGCTATTTCTTTGGTTCGGTTAATTTCTTTTCTTATTAAATATTAAATTGTTTTCGAAAAATACTTTATTCGAAAAACAAAAAACAAATTGTTGCATTCAAAAGTTTAATATGACAGAAGTGAATAAAAAAATTTTTATATAATTAATTGTAAAATTGAAATCATAATAAAAATAAATTTTTTCTCTCAATTTTCTTTTGGTCATTTTGTTATTTAATATATGCATGCATGTATGTATTAAAAATTTCTTATTTTTTTATGTAAGAGAGTATAACTATGTAGATATTTTATTGACGTAAAATGTCCTTGTCAAAATATTTCTGATTTTTATTTAATTTTTATCATTTCCGGATTGTGAACACTAAAAGAAATTTTTAATTTTTTTTATTATACAGTGCCTTACATAAAATTTTGAATTTAATTATGAAGAAAATAGAAAAAACCAAAAAAATTTATAATGTTTGGATAAGAAAACAATTTTGTTGTCATGATTTTAATGCAATATTTTATACATGATAATTTGAATTTAAAATATTTTAAGAGTACTAAGAATTTTACATCCACTGTAAAAATATATGACAGTAATATTGTAAAATTATTTTGCTGTCCATACCATTTTTACTTTATTTAATCATAATGTTTATTTACGAACCAAAAAAAAGAAAAAGAATGAAAAAGAGAGAGAGAGAGGGAAAACATAATAAATATAAGTGTATTGCGTTTGTATTGAGATTTGTATTAATGTGACGTAAAATACGCCTTACGTTATGCAATATTTACATTGAACTTTGAACTATTATCAAGTTTGCTGCAATTCGTTTTCTTTTTTTTTTTTAATTACCTAGCTAATTAGTTAAAAACATATTTTTTTTTCAACGAAAAAGAAAAAATTTATGAAAGAACGAGGACATTTTTTCTTATCCTTTCACTTTAGTTTTGATATTATAATCAAATTTATTACATATGTATGCATTCATTTACTTTAAATGAAAATTTTTTTTTAATATTGAAAAATTGAGTAAGTTGGAAAAATTGTCTTATTTATCTAGAAATTCAACTTGGAAAAATAATTTTTTAATAATAAATAAAAATTATTCTAAAAATATTTTATAACCGTAGGCATTATTAATATACACTAAGTCCTCGAGATACGACATTTTTGATTCCAGAAATTTATGTCGTAACTCGACATTATTCCACTAATAATTTTTAGGCAGTTTGTAGTCAAATTTTTATTGACAACTAAAATTGGCTAAAATTGTGATTTCTTCTAAATTTTACCAAATTTTCACCTAAGTAAAACTTAGATGATTCATTCGGTTTCTTCAATTTATCATAATAATTGATATATTTAATTCACATAAATCTTATAATTGTAATACATTAATAATTAATAACAATAGAATTGTGTATTTCTACAGTTAAGCATTACTAACGTATATTATTATGTATAAGTACTTGTTTCTATATTAAAGTACTTTCTCTATATTGACACTATCTTTCTGATGTCTTTTCTTTAAGGGAATTTAAAATTCTCTTTTTATCTTTTGAAAAAAAATTGTTTTTATTTGTAATTGTTTTTTTTTTTGCTTTTAATTATAAAATAAAAGTTTTTGTTTTTTTTTGTCACCTTGCAACAGAATAAATAAATTAATAAAATTTTTTTTTGTATTTTTTACAAACTCATAATAAAATATTCAAAAATCTTGACGCTTTGCTGCTAATTTAAATGTTGAGAGAGGAATGTGTGCTAGTATTTTGTGATGTCTTTTAAGATTTATGTTTGTATAAAATAGAATTTATAATTTATAAATGTCAAGAAAAATATTTTCTGAAAAAAAATTTATTAAAAATTTTCATAATCTTGAGTCAAGAATCAATTAAATTTGTTTTTTTTTACAAATATATTATCAAATAAATTTTAGAAGAAAATAATTGCAAATTAATAAAAATTATTAAATTTGTCATTTTATAGAACATCTTCTACGTCAAGTATTATAAAAAAATAAAAAAATAATCTTAGGATAAAAGAAAATAAAAAAGACAACTTTGCGCACTTTACATAACAAACATATATATATATATATATGTATATATATATAATATATATATAACTCAAAAATTGCAATAATATTTTGTTCAAATTAAATTTAGGAAAATATATAAAATTATATATAAAAATATAAACTATAAGAAGCAAATAAAAAGAGCAAAACAATTTTACATATAAATTTAAAATAATTAAAATCATTTTTAATTCAAAACGCACAAAAAATTAAAGAAAAACAAAAAAATATAAACCTGGTGCCAACATAATATTAATATAAAAAAAAATTATAAAATTAAATAAATAAGAATAAATTAAATATAAATAAATGCAAATACATACATGTATTATAGTTACAATTTAATATATAGAGTTAAATAAATATAGAGTTTGTATACCATTAATACCGTTATATATAATAACAGAAAATAAAAAAACATATGTAAAACAAAAAAAAAGAAACAATTTTTTTTTCCTTTAATTAATCTATTTGACATTTAAATCAAATAATATTAAAAATATACAAAAAAAAAAATCACTTTACATTAAAATTTTAATAAAAATAATTTACTCAATATGGGTATAGTATAAATGTATAACATAAATATATATATATATATATACGAGTATGTATATATGCATGTATGTGTATAATTAAAATAAAAATAAAATAAATATCGATTCTAAATGTAATTTAATTATCATATATAAATAAAACAAATACATATAAAAACAATTACAAATACGTTTTTACATATATATATATATATATTAATAAATATATACATATATAAAAAAAAAAACAAATAATAAATAAATAAATATAAATAGTGTAAATATAAAATCAACAAAAATATAATAAAACAAAAAATATTTAGTGTATAAAAGGAGTTTATTGAAATTAATGCAGAAATTTTATACATATAATAGTTTTATTGATGAGGGCAGGGGGCAACCATTGGAGCCCCCAATTTTGTTCTGTTGAGGCATGTCGTAATGGCAAGAGAGGTGAGTTGTTTTTTTTTTGATTATTTGTAAATTTTACTTTTTTTCTTCATATTATATATCTGTGGCTCGAATAAACAGATTATACTTAGATTATAGAAACTGATATATGTTCATTTGAACAGTTTTAAAGTTATTTTAATATATTTATGAGTATATAGGCATATTTTTACTAATCGACAGATATAAAAATAATTAAATATTTCTGTTTAATGAGGGTAAAATTTAAACTTTCTCTCATTGCGATATATTTAACTTAATGTTTATTGTGTGTCCACAGATATTTAGTGAAATTCGATATTTTCGATTTAATAATGAATATTTTGTTTTGGAATTTTGAAATTTAATGTATAATGTCCCTGTCTTTATAAAATATATTATTTCAAGTATGATTTAAAGAAAACATGGGATCATAATAATATACAATCAAAAAAAGAGCAAATTGTAATAATTTATTTAAGTATATTGTAAGATGAATTATGAAAAAGCAAAAAAAAATATCCAACAATATATAAATGAGTAATGAACTGTTCTGGTTGAAATTTTTGTTATTTAAATAATTCAATATTATATTTAAATACAAGTAAAATAAAGAAGAACGACATTAGCATTAATAATACTAGTTAACGAGAAAAAATAGAGTTGACCTTGTGATACCCGTACGAATTTGTTATCCTATGTGCGAATAAATATGCCATAACTGACTATGGGACAGACTATGACTTTAAGTTGCCGTATTTTAAGTTGCCATATTAATTTATGCAAAATTTCAGTAGTGTTTTTCAAAATACTGTGTATGCCAAACCACTATTGAAGTTGTATAGCAGCTACCAGAAAGAGCGAAGAAATTTTAACGAATTTTATCAAGCATATCGGCCCTACTGTTATATTTACTTGTGTGAAATTTCAACACCACGCTTTTAACAGTTTCTGAGATACAGCCAAATAAATTTTGAAGTTGTATGGCAGCTACCCAAACCGATACTCCGATCATGTCCAATTTAAATAGGGTTCTGGCAACTTACTACAATAAATCATTCGTGAAAATTTAGTGAAGTTAGCTCAATTAGTTTTTGAGTTATCGCTGGGACGGGCGGACGGACTGACAAAGCTAAACCAACTCAGAATTCGACGCTGATCAAAAACATACACTTGAGTCTATATCTAAGATCGTTATTTCTTAGAGTTATAAACGGCAAGGCAAATTTAGTATACCCTTCGAACATACGTTCGTACGGATATAAAAAATCTAATCGATCGAGTTGAATGTCATGAATAATGACGAGTTGTACATTTTAGATTTTAGAAGGGTGGGAGAGGAGTATGGAGGTGTTTAATAGTTACAAAAACTGATAAATATATATATCTATTATATAGTTATAAATTATAAGAACAAAATTAACAAATTGGTAAGTAAACTAAAATGTTCAATTGTTCCGTATAATCCAAAAATAAAAGACAATACATTTTCTATACATTGAAATTTAAAATGAAATTTTGTTTTTCTTGTTTGTTATTATTATTTTACCAATTCGTTCACATTATCTTATATTTCAAACACATAAATACATATAGAAAAGCATTCTTATAAGCATTTACATACGAGTATGCATACATACGTATATATGAAGTACGATATAAAATTATTGTAACAACAGAAAAAACAATAAGAATGAGCTGTTCAATTTATTTCAAAGGATATTCGATACTTCTTTTGTACTAAATGGATAATAATAACAATTAGTATTTTTTAAATTAAGTAAAATACAATAAGAACAAAGATAATATATAATAAAATAATGAAAAATCATGGACATATATAGCAAAAAGGACATAAGGCTAAGATCAAGGATTTGCAATTAATTCCGTATATGTATATGTATATCATATACAATTCCTGATAGGTGCTTGAGTGTTATAAAAGGACAACAGGGAAAAAAAATTAAAACAAGAAAAAATCAAGAAATTGCAAAACAATAAGAATTGCTTTTTCATTTAATAACCATTTTCTTTTATTGTTCTTATGTGTGTCTATGTTAGCTTTAATAATATTATTTGTGCACAATATGTGTATGTGCATATTTTATGAAGAAATTGTAGGAAAAATAAATTAATAAATGGAATGAAAAATGGAAGGCAAATGATAAAAAATAAAGTTTGGTTAAATCAATGGTTTGTAAAGCAGCACTCTTCCCTTGAATAAGTGAAAATACTGCTCTTAAAAACAATCTATTACGTTTTTAATGTTATTGTATTTTCATTCCAAAATACACAAAAATATTTAAAATTATTGCATATTAATAGGTTGAAATGAAAAAAAAAAATTGAAAGAACCGTTTACATAATGGTCGAACCCAAGGATTAATTGCACGAGTTAAGATAAATAATTATAGTTTTCGATAGCACGCCATTTACCGTCAGTTAGTTTTTGGCATTTATAGAAATTTAAAAAACCTTAAAACCTTGCAGTTTCGCAAATATAAGACGCTGAAAATTGAAATATTACAAATTTCCAGTGATGGAAACTTGAGAGGTGATTGAATGTTAATACCAAAGACTGCTAAAATTTCAGATCAGATCCCAGTTATGGTCTAGACGAAAAACGATATCGGAAATCGAAAAAAAAAATTAATTTCAGATAAAAAGCCTGCTAAATAATAAAAAGCCCGTTAAAAAATTAATTTTAACGGGCTTTTTATTATTTTCATGCCGTGGTGGAAAAAGTCAGAAACTACTTTTCTGCGATTTCCTAATTTTAGGAACTTTGAGCTGTGGCTTTAACTTTTAGGGAAAAAAGGGGGAGGCGGGGAAATGGGTAAAAACGGACATCCATGGATTTTAAATCAAAAGAGTGACCACTATTCTTGCTTTTTATTAAATTAACTACTTTTAGTTATAAAAAATTGATTTGTTGAAAAATCATTTATTATTGTTTTGAATGTAGATTTCGAATAAAAAATTTTGGTTTCTTCTTATTAATTTTTCAACAGTTTTATAATGTATATAAAAAACTATAAAATAATAATATATTTTTCAAATATATTGATGCATAATCATAGACAAAGTTTGTTTATATACATAGACAGGCATACAAAAGTATTATCAAACAATATAGAGAAGAATCTTTCATTTTTACTTTAGAATTATCTTACATTATTTAACTGGAATACAAAAAATTAAAAATATATTTGTATGTATACATGTGCATATACATTTATTCAAACATATGAGTACTTAAAAAATAATTTTAAATTATAAAATATAAAATTTAACATTTTCGTTTTCTTTAATATTTTTATGGAGTATTCCACATACTCTCTCGCAATATAAAGATTTGTGTATATGTACGTATTTAAGTGAAAAATTAATTTTCCTGACTAAAATAATCTGCAAAAATCGAAAAAGATAAAAAACAAAAACAATTTGTAAAAGCAAAATTTTTTGTTTTGCAGGTTTTTTTTTGAAAAAAACCAAACACATAGGAAATTTTTAAATTTCACTTACAGCGCATAGAGGCTGTATAGATTTTATTGAGTCTGTATATGCAGAACATATACTCGTACATATTTTTATGTGCATACAACCATTTTTTCATGGAATAAGAAGATTTTGTTTGTATAAGTATTTATTAAAATGAAATACATTAAGAATAAAAATATTCATATTTTTTACATATGTATGTATGTTAAGCTTGATAAAGTATATATATATAATTGTATTAATACAGGTATGTAAATGTAAATTCACTATTATATATAGGTAAAAATGTATAGGATAAAAACATATGGGAACAAAATTTGTAAATTTATAAAAAGAAAAGTTGAATCTTTTTGTTCTCCTCAATGGTTAATCGTATTTCATGTATATGGTTAAGGTTTGTCCTTATGTATGTACAAATCGCATATATTTAGGTAAGAAATATGTACGTATTTGTATGTATGTATATCCGATTGTAATTGTTATGTATGAAATATGAGTACAATCCAAATTTTTTCATTTTAATAATTTGTGTTCAACAACAGAAAAAAAAAATCTTTTTCTTCTCATTTTCTTATTTTTTTGGATGTTGGAATTTGGAATTTTTTTTTAAATTTTTCTTTTTTTTGCTTATTGTTTTCCTTTTCCAAATATATACATATATATATATATATGTGTATATCACATACTTTCATACAAATTATACTATTTTAGACGCATCAGTGTTACTCTATGCTGCTGAAATATTCCTGAATAGATAGAAAAAAGTTAAAACCATAAAAAAAAACCTTAAAAAAATATACGAGTGGAATTTTTTTTTGTTTCTTTTCTGTATTACATACACATCAGACCGCACATAACATTTTATTCGCTATTTTTGAAAATAAGAAGGATTTTAAAGGAATTTTTCTAAAACAAGCAGAAATGAACAAAAAAACCAAAAAAAAAAAGAATTCTTTGTACAATGATGTTTATGATGATTATTATGATGATGATGATGTTGATCATATTGATGAAAAGTGATGATGGTAATGTTGAAAATATTAATGATGATGATGATGATTGTGATGATGATAATGGTGATGATTATTTATTTGTGATGATTAAAGTATTTGAAAATTTTGATTGTATGTATATGTCTGTATGTATGTATTAGTTTGTTCCAGATTTTACTTTACAAATTAGGTCAGTCAAGACCCTTGCAATTTAATACTTCTTTATATATATTCCAATATTTATATGAACAATAGATACATATATGGATATATGGATATGGCGAAAATATACGAAAATTATATATGGAGATGTTGTAAGTTTATACAATAAACATATACACATACAGTATATTTACATACATAAATGTATTATATTATGGATACGAATGTGTGTAATATGAAAAAGAAGATATATATGTACTATAGTTATATTACATAAAATCATTTAAAAAAAAATAATCAAAAAAATGAAAAAAAAAACATTTTTTTTTATTATTTTCCAAAAAAATTTGTGTATACTCCTCTAAATGT